TGTGTTGATGTTTTGCTGCATAACAACAAATACAATGCAAAAGTCAAGAATCATATTTTAAATTGAAACATCAAGCATAAACATATCGTAGCGCTGTAGGATGACGAAATAATACAAATAATGTCAATTTAGTACAATAAATACAATAATTTTGTCGGTATAAACATTTTGACCAGAGCGTTCTGATTTGAATATTTGGTAAACCTTTTTAATGCGTATTAGTTCTGCGCACACTGGTGGTCACGTGTGCCGTGAGTCTCCAGGTGATTGGCTAGGCCCGCGCATGACCCGGATTCATTGTTTCGTAGCATTTAGCCTGCAAGCCACACTGCGGAAAGACCGACCGTGGAGGGCTTTTCATTCACAGGATTTTAGAAGTTTCTCCCCGCCCCCTTTCCGAAAGCCATACATCCCGATAATACGGCGTGGTTTACGCTACAACCTTCTTTAACGGAGCAAAAACAACTGGAAAAGATATCTCTTCTCTAGGTTTTATCGGCGGTTTTATCTGCGAGCGGCGGGCGCCCGGACACACGCTGATGGCGGTCACTATTGAGGATCTCTATCGGAGCTACGGGGTCCTCGCTGATGCTAAGGACAACCTCAGTCAGGTACATTAGGCGAATCTTGTTAATGTTGCGCCATTGATAAAGCTCCGTTGCATCGCTACGGCACCTTATTCCACGTCCATCACCGTCAACTTTTTTTATGAGCTAATAATGTTGCTGCGTGCCTGCTATGCTAACTGTAGCGAGCTAGCGAGGGACCGTGCTAATGTCAAAGGCCTACCCCGCTGGATGTTTATGGGCATTGTGATCTTTACGCATTTGGGTGAATAGTTTACTTTTAACTTGACTCAAAATGAGTTTCAATTCATGCCACACGTTTGAAGTTGAGAAAACAGGCTCTAGTTCTGCAAGTTGGGTTACTTTCTGTGTTAGACCAGGTTTAATTGTTTGTTTTTCTGGTCCTGAGACAAATCCAAACCAACTACAACTCAGTCCACATGTTAAACACGTCCTCTAGTATTCCTTTTGAGAGTTTTAGCAAATGAATGCATCTTTCCATAATGGGGGGCCAACGGTATACTTATTTTGAAAGCCAAATTGAATGCCGCTGGCCCGCTCATATCCTGACATCCTGACACCAGAACAGAATATCTCCTATTCCAACTCTCTTCATTCCCACCTGACTGTAGTAAACATACGTACAGCCGTTTCTACATGACACTTAACTGTAACCACGATGTCCTATGAAAATGACTTCTAAACCGTTTAGCTGTATGCGCTATTGTTCCAGTGAGTCACGTTATAATGTGAGGTTTAGTATGTTTCGTAAGGAGTCTAATGTGAACGTCTTAATGTCTTTTAATTCCCCTGCAGCACAAAGATGCCTACCAAGTAATCTTGGATGGAGTGAAGAGTGGCCCGAAGGAGAAGCGCCTGGCGGCCCAGTTTATCCCAAAGTTCTTCAGCAGCTTTCCAGAACTGGCCGACTCGGCCATCAATGCTCAGCTTGATCTCTGTGAAGACGAGGACGTGTCGGTGAGTATTCAGACTTCAGGTTCGACGGGTTCCTCGGTTGATTAAGAGTTCATCACTACATTTCCAAACATGACTACATAAAGATTCTAAAGGATGCTTTTGGATTCAATGTATGTGTGCTTGTCTTTGTCCAGATCCGACGGCAGGCCATCAAGGAGCTTCCGCGGTTTGCAACTGGCGAGAACATCCTCAGAGTTGCCGATATTCTCACCCAGCTCCTTCAGACAGGTATTGGAAGCTAAACATTGTAAAGATTTTGATAATCTTTTTGTTCATACAAACAACTTTGCTGGCCATACAGCCATGTTGTTTACTTGCACTGCTGTTGTGATCCTTTGTTAATATCGTGATCTATTTTTAAATCTGTATAAATGTTGGATACCAGTTTTTCTCATCAGTCTAACTTGTATATTGTATATTGTCTTTCAAAATGTTTTTTAAAGTCCTACTTTTTTAATTATGTATTTTTTTTTGTGCCTTCAGATGATTCAGCAGAGTTCAACCAAGTGAATGGAGCTCTTGTTTCGATCTTCAAGATGGATGCTAAGGGTAAGCGTTTCCTCCCCCCACTGACCCAAAATAACTCTTCTATACTTGTCAGTTATCCGACCAAGTTTAGAACTTATTTATTTTCTGTTAAGGTCTGTTTTTAAAGGGCTGATTTAAGTTTTAGTTTTTAGTAACTGTCCATGCTTCTTTTTGTAAAACACGTAACCAATGAGCCTTTAATTGCTCAGGTACCCTCGGAGGCCTCTTCTCTCAGATCCTGCAAGGAGAGGACATCGTGCGGGAAAGAGCCATCAAGTTTCTGTCCACCAAACTGAAGACCCTGCCAGAGGACGTCATGACAAAGGAGATGGAGGATTATGTCTTTGCTGAGACAAAGAAGGTTAGCGTACAGTGAATATTGATTATTGATATTTGATGGTAGTTTGCATTTAACTACATCAATCACACCATATGACTGACTCAAATCTGGGAGGGCTGTGCTCATTAATCAACTTTTTGATCATCTGTTTGTGAGGACTCGCACTACTTGGCTTCCTATCTGTACTTTCTTTTATTAAATAAGAAAACATTGTACATTTGTGATACTGGTATGAAGCCGCACACGTTGATGACGGGTTTACGGTCTCCCCTGTGCAGGTTCTGGAGGACGTGACCGGAGAGGAATTTGTGCTGTTGATGCGTGTGGTGTCTGGCCTGCGGGTGCTGCAGACGGTGAACGGGCGGCAGCAGCTGGTGGAGCTGGTGGTGGAGCAGGCCTTCCTGGAGCAGGCCCTCAACCCAGCCGACCCAGACACTGTTGACCGCCTGCTGCAGTGCACACGCCAAGCCCTGCCCCTCTTCTCTGTGAGTACAGCTGATGCGCCTCCAGCGATAAGCACACACATCTCATTGGTAAACTTGTATAGTATTCATGATTTTGTTGTAATGAAATTGGGGAATCAATCATGCTCTTCTTTGTCCTGCTAGAAAAATGTCCATTCCACGCGCTTTGTAACCTACTTCTGTGAACACGTCCTGCCCAACCTCAGTGCCCTGACAAGTCCGGTGGCTGAGCTGGATATCCAGTTAGAGGTAAGTTCTTTATATATTTATTGATCACGCATACACCACATTCTTGCATCTAACAGTTCTTTATTGATCTATCATTAACAGGTATGGCGCAGAGTTTCATTCTAAACTATGAAGTGTTTAGAATCCTCCACCGATCTGATTATCGCCTCTCGACCGCCTCTTTGTCCGTGGCAATAAATACTTTTAAATCAAATATCACTGGTCGTTTTAAATGCCAGTGTGGCTTTCAGACCAAACGACTACTTTCCCTGTTCTGGATTTATTCAGCCTGATTCAGCACTTCCATCCCGACAGGCCTGATGAATATGTGCAAGGTCGATATTCCTAATGTCTGACATTATGTGATCGGTTGTAGTAGTAAACAAAGTCAGCGTGGCAGCCACCTGTCAAAGATGTCAGCCAACTGCATGTTGTTAATGGGTCATTAAGCTGCACCACGCAATGCAGTTCTCATTAGCAATGCACATTACACTGTGAGGGGATCTGCTCAGCTGTGTGTGTCTGTGTGTAGGTGCTGAAGCTGCTGGCTGAGATGAGTCCTTATTGTGGAGACATGGATAAGCTGGAGCCCAACCTCAACATGCTGTTTATCAAGCTGCTGGTGAGAAGTGATGGCCCTGTTGTTTAGAGTAAAGTGGAAAGTCACTTAAAGTACACATCTGCAGTTTTTTGACTGCAAATTAAAGCTAACCGAATGATTGTACGTGTTTATTCCCTGTTTCTATAGGAGTTCATGCCTGTACCACCAGAAGAAGCAGAGAACGGAGAGAACACGGCCAGCGAGGAGCCCAAGCTGCAGTTCAGCTATGTGGAGTGTCTGCTCTTCGGCTTCCACCAGCTGGGCAAGAAGCTGCCAGACTTCCTCATTGAGAAAGTGGATGCTGAGCGCCTCAAAGACTTCAAGATCAGGTGAGTCTCACACTGAGAAGTTTGTTAAATAAAAGCCCATTCTGGGGGGGGGGTGTGGTAACTTATCGGTCATTTTCTAACGGAAGTGAATGTGCTTTGTATTCCAACAGGTTACAGTATTTTGCCAGAGGTCTGCAGGTTTATATCAGACAGCTGCGAGTAGCACTGCAGGGCAGGTCAGGTGACGCTCTGAAGACCGACGAGGTAACGGCCGCTCGGCAGCCTGTCAACAGACATGACGCAAACTGTCTGTTGCCTCTGGTCCCGCTGTAGAATGTATACGAGAGACTAACTCTTCTCTGTGTTGCCAGAATAAGATCAAAGTGGTGGCACTGAAGATCACCAACAACATCAACGTCCTCATCAAGGTAAGTCGTTCTCAGCCTGCACTTTGTCGTGGTGCTTGTGCTCACGGTAAAAATGAGATCCACTGTAATAATTCCAAGTAAAAGGATTTTTTGTAGGATTGCTTTACAATGTACATGGTTTCATTTTTTCTGATCGCTTGAAGGCATCAGACAAATACGTACTATATAAACTCTGCTTTGTATCTAATAACCCTTTTCCTATTTCTTCCCAGGATCTCTTCCACAACCCTCCGTCATTCAAGAGCACAGTCAGTCTGTCCTGGAAACTCATCCAGAAGTCAGAGGCCGTAGCGTAAGTCCGCTCCCGCTGATTTAGCAGTAGGGCTGTGCGGTATGGCCAAAAATCCATATCACGGTATTTAGATTCCGACGGTATCCCGTTATATAAGTTAACGCTAAACGCCTTAATTCATTGACCTCGAAAAGGACCGCGGCTACCCCAATTAGCTGTTTGCGGCTGGCAGGTCAACTGGCCGGCAAGTTAGCGTGTTAGCTTGTTGTTGTGGCGTAACACCGGTATGAACGGTACGTGAGAAATTCATACCGTACGGAAATCTTATACCGTCTACCGCTCAGCCCTATTTAGCAGTCGTACACCAACCGCACAGCATCGGTGTGTTCTTGCTGCCCTATCGGGTCCTGACCGGCTTTCTCCTGTGCATCTGTGCAGGCCCAAGCGCCCTTCCACTGAGGAGATGGGTGCTGCCGACAGCACAAAGAAGCAGGTGTCTCTTCAGCCGAGGAGGGACGCGCGGCAGATCTACAACCCCCCGAGTGGCAAGTTCAGCGCGACCATTGGCAATTTCACCTACGGTGAGAAGCGCTGTGGTTCTTTCATACTTTAGATACTGTGCCGCCATTGCATCCTTTTAATACACTCTTTACACTCTCAATACATTCTTTCAAAAGGAATATGCGTGATGAAGTGATCTTGTGATGTGAACATGGTATTTTTCAGCAGTATGTCCCATCAGTCAAACCTTTTATAATAAAATACGGTGTAGAAACGTATCTGCCTCTAAAATTCAATATAGGTTGGTATATTGTATTTCCATGCTGATCGGTTGTTTTTTCTGTTTATTTTTTTGTACTCCAGAGCAGCGTGGCGGCTTCAGGGGCGGACGAGGACGAGGGTTCGGAGGTCGAGGCAACAGGAGCAGAGGACGAATCTACTGAGAAGCACAAACAGGCGTACAGTACTCACTGCTCATTGAACTGCATCACATCAGGATCTTTTCCGCACCGAGACGGACTATTTGACACCCACTTTTGTCTTTGACTGGTCTCCATGTCTTTTTTTTTTTTAAAATTTGGAGGGAGGGGCGAGCTTTGGTTTCCTGTCGTCAAAATATCAGGCATCGGGCTCAGTCATTTCAACAATTACTCCCCGTAATCTTCTGCGCAAAGGCCATAGTTAGCGTAACTCTAGATGTTGTTTTTCCCCCCATCATTTTTAAAATATTCTGTGTATTTTTGTGGAACAAAAGACTACCAAGAGATAAAGATTGTCTTGTTTGGAATGTGAATTGCATTTCTTTCTACCTTTTTTATTTAATCGTGGTTTCTTTTTTATTAGAACAGAAGATGATTTGGAAACTAGTCCGTAACAAATTACACTCTACACAATTCTTAACTTGCATATTAAACCCTTTCCCAGTCTGTCCTCCTTGATGGTCTCCTTTCCTGTCTCTCCTTCGTCTATTTTTACCCAGATCGAAGTGCTCGAATGTCTGCTGCACATGTGTCCGTGGTGGATGCACACAGTGGCACTATAAATAACGACCTGCCCCTCCCTCTGCTGCTGGTCATTATGTGCATATAGATACAGTGACATTGAAAAATAAAATGGAAATAAGACATCAGTTCAAGATTTTGGATGACAGGAATACAAATATCCCAACATACGGAGGAGACATGGGCATGTGGAATAATCTCTCCTCTCCTCCGCCTCTTGAAAGACGTACATGACCAGAACCACCTTTTTAAAAAGCCCAGTGGCTTTATAGGGGGCATATTGTGAAACCACAAACGGCGATGACCCTCGGACCCCTCCGACTCTGATCTACCCTGATCTAGCGATTCTGTTGATGAAGGACAGGTTTGAAAATCATCTTTTTCGAAATTAACAGCGGGGGTGGGGGTGGATGATGGATTTGGGGTAGGAGAAAAAAGAAGGGGGTGGGGGGTAGTTTATTTTAGAAATAGTAGGCAGTCTAAAACAAACAGACCTCAATCGAACACGCTTGTGCATCAAACCGTGATTTATTTGTGATGGAAGGAGACTTCACTCCCCCCCTCACCACCACCTGGTCCTCCGGCTTTTCAGCCCTCCGCAAACGATGTTACGTAATCTCACACGTGAATGTTAAGAGACGGGGAGGGGTGGGGGAGTTTCATAAATAGCACTATAGCGCTGCTTCCATTGACATCATTTAGAGATGGAAAAATAAATAGGGGGAGGGAGGCACAGGGTTCCTTAATTAGGGTCCTCGCTACGACTAGTCACATACATAGAAATCGTTTTGATATCTTCTTGTTTTGAGAAGATATGGGCTAATGAACTTTGCAACACCTTGATTATGCTTCACTGTCAATATGATAAGAATCTGATAATCAGTGGCGAGAGGGTGCATCGGCAAAGCACAAAAAACTCGGATTTCGAGTTTACTCACTTTGGACCCCCGATTCCAGGGATTGCGGATACAGTGCGTTTTTCTGCACGATAGGGCTATCCGGAGACGGGGTTCACCGGGTTCAGACAAACTAGAGTGTGGCAGACGGGGTCTAAACCGTTGTAACTCTACTCCACATCATCGGATTCTTTCTAATTTACACATGTTTGATGAGACTCTGGGCCTGAAGAGATGTAAAGCTGAATCAAGTCACAGCCCCACCTACTGGTATCAGGAAGTCACCTTTTCTAGTATCCAGTAAAAAATGAAGGTGGTATTTAGAGAGGCTTTAATTTTGAAATAGTAAATCATAATGTCCTGGTTATCACCAAGTGACACCTTGGGGATGAGTACTATCAACCTGAATCACAATCACAATTATTATGTAACTATTGATAGATAACATTCTCCTCGCAAATCAATAAGACCACTCTTAAATCTTAACCTTAACAATGTTAGAGATGAAGTTTGCAAAGCCACATTCCTGGTGTTGCTTCTTATTGTTAACAACGACTGACTTTGTCCGGCGGCCACAGGAGTTTCTAGCCGTCCGGGCGGTACCCCCGACGTGCGGAGTAGCGACGACCCGTCCAACGCTGCTCGCAGCTTTAATTGTTATTATTGTTGGAATGCTTTGAAGCATTCCAAGTATTGTTGTTCAAATCTTTATTCAACTTCTCCTCTTGTATTCCATTTCTTCCCTTTCAACTTCAAACTTTCAGCTATGAAACCTGTTCAAATATTAAAATGTTCAACACCTTTCTGGCTTTCCATCTATGACTTTTTAGCTTTTTAGCTCTTACAATTGAATTCATATACATTGAAATCATAATCTTTTTTAACATGGTTTTCCAATGGAGTTAATTTTCCAATCCTCTTAAACTTCAGATTTTTCAGCTTTGCCATTCTTTCAGCTGCAGACACCATTTAACAATCGTCCCCCTCCACCTTGACTCCTCCTCATTCTTAATCACACGCTCACTCTTCGCTGGCCAACCACAATAATAGCGGCTTTGATCCAACACGACACTCATGACTAGAAATCGTCACGGCCACAATGAGCAGCTTGTCGCTGCAAAAGAAATGTGTTTGCCCAAGAAGGTTATTAATTTATTAAAATAAAAATTTTTCACACTAGTCCATTTCCAAGAGATGCTGATTGTATAATTAAACTGAAAAACAATTATCAACGGTAACTTGTCTTTTTTTGTCCAGGTCTAGTTTTTTTTACTGGGCAAAAGCCCAGTGAGATGCCTTTTGTCTCTTCAATATACACACAGAATGAATTAGACAAAAAAAACAATTCAGCTTTTTTTCATCTTTTAAATTCTCAATCTTAAACGACATTGTCCACGAACTTGTCATTATAAAACCACTGAAATTGTCTGTCAGTTGCTTATAAGAACCCTTGGTTTTGAATGCAGTCCACACAGTAGCAACGTTCATGTTGGAATTAGAAGCTATAATCTTTGTTAATTTTTCCTGTCTACGGTTGGTGGGCCCCACTTGGAACAATAACAGCACTTTATATCTGGTAAATCAGCCATTTAATAACAGCTTTATCTAGTTGTATGAATGGTGTGACGACCCCTGCTGTGGAGGCAGCAGCCTTCCAATGAGATTTGGTGATTGAAGGCACCTGGGCCAGGTGCCCTGAGATTAGAAAGTCCTGTGTTCATTCATTGATTCTGTCGCTCTCTCCTCTCTCCAGCAGACGTCCGGTGTGGTAGGGCAGCCGCCTGTTGAATCCGGTTTTCCTTTGGGTTAAATGCCCTGGACAACACCCACCATTTACACTTTACCCTCATGCACATCCTACACTACTGATAATACTGACATTCGCATCCCATCTGGAATGGTTATGGTTTTTCGTTGTTTTGTGTGTTAAATAAAGAATGTTACACCTCGGAAACCAGTGTAACTCCAATCTTGTCATGGCCCAAAGAGCCAGGTCGTGACAAATGGGGGCTCGTCCAATTCTGGTCAGTGATTTGTTTGATGATCAAGTGTGTAGATTTCGTGTGACGCGTGTTTTTGTGTGGATCAGCTGTGAGCGGTTGGTGCGCGTTTGGTTTGGTGGTGATCGCCAGGTTTCTCTGCGGAAAGTTTGGGAGTCATGCTGGATTTTGAAGGTTTTGCTCTGGTTCGTTGGTATTGTAGTTCTTTGGTCCGTTGTAGTTCTTTGGTATGTTGTAGTTCTTTTGTCCGTTGTAGTTGTAGCTCTGGTTCGTTGTAGTTCTTTGGTCCGTTGTAGTTGTAGCTCTGGTTCGTTGTAGCTCTGGTCCGTTGTAGTTTCTTGGTCCGTTGTAGTTCTTTGGTCCGTTGTAGTTCTTTGGTCCGTTGTAGTTCTGGTTGTGGAAGCGTTTAGATTAGAGTTTTGTTTTTTTCTCTTTCGCGAAGTCGATTGCGCGTGGTCCAAGAGAAAGTACGTGTTGCCGCCCTGATGCGCTGTGTTTGGAGTTTCCCTGTCAGGTTATAGTGGCGTCTCCCCTTTGGGTTGAGTCAGTTTTTTTTTGTAGTGTTGTGGCAACGTGGTTAGTGTCAGCTGTCTATGGACGGTTGTCTCGGGAGCACGTCCGTGGGATCTTGCGTTGTGGCCTACTTGTGGGTGGCTTCTCAGACCTGCTGGTTTCCAGTGCGTAATTACCCACCGCAAGCTGCATGAAGACTAGGTGAGTTTAGTAAGAGTTTGGACTAGGCAGTTAGGGGGAATACTCCGCGGGGCAAGTTGCCTTCGTTTGTGTGCGTTTGGGGGGTAATACGGTGCGTTCTGTTTGGTCTGTCTTCCTTGTCGGGTTTTTTTTGAGCAGCAGAAGGAGCTGCTGATGTGAGGAAGGACTACCTTGGCTGATGTTGTCAGCCCGAGAAGGTGTTCAGGAGAGCACTGGGTTTAGTCCCAATGACCTTGTTTTTGGCCATACAGTGCGTGGTCCCTTGGCAGTTCTGCGGGATGGCTTGGGTGACACTGTCAATGGTCTGAATTGTAGTGGTCAGGGTTAATATTGTGATCATGAAATGTAACTCCTGTCATTCTTCACTTTGTTCTCGTCTCTCTCTTAAAATGCTTCTTTTAGGTACCTGGTTGCAAAACTGGGGCGTAGTTTCAATGTGGAGGGTGCTAAGGTAGTATGTTTTTTTTTTGTTGTTGTTTTTGGAGTTTGCGGTGATCCCTGTCGGGACCCCGTCTTAAGGGGGGAGGTGTGACGACCCCTGCTGTGGAGGCAGCAGCCTTCCAATGAGATTTGGTGATTGAAGGCACCTGGGCCAGGTGCCCTGAGATTAGAAAGTCCTGTGTTCATTCATTGATTCTGTCGCTCTCTCCTCTCTCCAGCAGACGTCCAGTGTGGTAGGGCAGCCGCCTGTTGAATCCGGTTTTCCTTTGGGTTAAATGCCCTGGGCAACACCCACCATTTACACTTTACCCTCATGCACATCCTACACTACTGATAATACTGACATTCGCATCCCATCTGGAATGGTTATGGTTTTTCGTTGTTTTGTGTGTTAAATAAAGAATGTTACACCTCGGAAACCAGTGTAACTCCAATCTTGTCATGGCCCAAAGAGCCAGGTCGTGACAATGGTATGTGATTATTATTCCATTGGATTTGAGGTATTTAAAGTTTCTTTTATTTTGAGTTATCCATGTGAAAAAAGGGCCCATTCTTATTGAGAGTTATGGCTGCTTTAAAACTACAGCTTACGTACCTGGACGTTGTGACATTTCATCAGCAGCCTCCATGGAGTCTAGAACGAGATATTTATTTAACCCTGCAAAAAAATTAAAATGAGCACCATTGCTACGCTGACACCCAAATCTATGTAGCGCTATCACCAAACGACTATCGCCCCATAGATCTTCTGTGCCAGTGCATTGAGCAAATCAAAGACTGGATGTGTCAAAATTTCCTACAACTAAATGAAGACAAAACTGAGATCATTGTATTTGGTGCTAAAAAAGAAAGGTTTAAAGTAACCCAACACCTTCACTCTCTGT